CCTGCCAACCTGACAGGTTTGCCAAGAATTTTACATTTGCCAAGAATTCTACATTAAATAAATACACACCTACATCACCTCCTCCCCCCAAGCGGGCAAAACCTACTGGGTAAGGAAACAGCTCTTAGGAAGAAGGACCATATGGGTTCATGAACCTTTCTGGTTTCCACAGCATAATCCATTCTCACCTCCGCCAGATGACCTGAAACATCTCCTTTGTGTTCAAGTTTGGGTTCCAAAGCAAGAAAGTTAAGGCTTGCTTTTGACCTACAAGATTTTTGTTCTTTTTATCATACAAGTCTATGATACACATTTTGAATGTAAGGTATATATATGAAAAAATCCTTGGGAACTTCTAGGTCTATACGCTCTTATAGATCTGGTTAGTGGACTCTGTTTTGGGGGTACTGTTATCCTTTCCTTTTGCCTGCAAAGTGTAGCCAATAGCTGAGCCTTAGATAGCCATGGCCATGGAATTCATCATGTTGGGAGCTGATTTGCACAAGCTCCTAAATCTAACTAAAGGCAGTGACCAAAATTAAGACATCTCTGCACTTAGTTTGTGCTAGCTTGCTATACAACAGCAGAGGACTAATACAAGGACCCTCTCCCACCAAGTGACCAAAGTCTACGTGGAAGAAATCTGCAGATTCACGAACCGTTTATTTAAGAGCAGTCTTTTTTCCTTCAACCTGTATTGTAGGCTTGTAGTACACGAACGCTTTTACGTTCCTTATAATTTCACACGTTAAGTTCAATCAATATTTTCACTGAAAAAGCAGGAAGGGAGCAGGTTCCTGTTCAAGAAAACCTTTGATGAAGTATAAACCTAAGTACTAACCTTACATCAGTTCATTGTTCTTTTCCATGGGACACCTTCCAGGGTGTGGTAGTGACCAATGTAGACTGCAGACCCCAGTGCGTATTGAACTCTATCCCTGAAAGGCAATGGTCCGAGACACCTGTCACACGCTTACCGCACATCTGGAAAGCTGAAAAAAAACGGCTAAGGGCCTCTCCTCTCTTTGCACGTTCCCCCACCCCACCATCCCCGCCACCCTCCCAGCTTGTGCTGTATTTTCATTCTTCCCTGGCACATCCTGGGCTTCTTGGAGGTCATGGCTCCCGCATCAGTGGAGGGAGATGCTAGCCTGGCCTTAATCCCCAGGGCTGGGTCCTCACCAGCTCCAAAGAGCCTAGATCCATACCCCTCCCTGCTGGTTGGAGACAGGCCAGTGAGAGACATCAATTTTATGGCTCGTAGTTTGCCAGAGAATGGGGGCTACATCAGAAAAGATCCCACACAATTTCCAGTCTGATCTTCTAACTAGGGGAAGGATCATGAGGTGCAGGGATGCTGGGATTCAGGTTCCAAGGTTTACCCTGCACAAAGAATCGTATGTGCCTGTCTTTGGGCCACATAATCCCGTTGCCCTTTTAGCTCATCCATCCACCCACGTCTACCATGTCTTGCAACAGAAGGCAGTAGCAAGTGCCCTAAGTGCCCTCAGGGGGGCCCTGAGGCTGTGCAGCCCCAACAGAAGCTGCAGACCTCTCAGTGACAGCTCTTGGGGACAGACGGTGGCCATGTAAGGCCCCTTTGCTGGAGGGAGGGGAACCAGTCCACTCTCCAGGAGGAAGAACTAAACACGCCTGGAGGAACCTCCTCCTGCTAGGAACACGCTGCAGGGCTGAGCTGTGTTAGAAAGATGGTCAAAACGTGAATTCACTACAGAGGACTAGTGTTTTCGCTGACGCCTCGAAATCCCCTAGGACTGCAGGCCTCCCCGCCCCCCAGGCAAGCGGGGCAAATTTAAAGCACGCACGGGGACCAGAGGTGCACCTACCTCAAAGCCAGCGAAGCCTGAACTGCAGGGACGCTGGCTCACAGGCGCCCCTCCAAAGCTTTGGGCCTAATTTTGTGTTTTGTACTCGAGTACTGTTTTTCCTCAAATTACACAAACTCCAAATTCACCCAAACCCGGGTCCATCATCGGAGGAGACAAGCTGGGAGTGACCAGCCGCAGTCGGCAGGAGCCCCGGGAAACCAGGGGTCCCTTTGGTGGAGTGGACTGGCCCCGCGGTAGCGCAGAGGCGTCACACGCGAAAATGGTTGCGACCCTCCGCCGGCGGACGACGGAAGGAGGCGGGTCCCAGGGCGCCGGGAACGCAGCGGGCAGCGTGCGTGCGAAGCCCCGCCCACCCGCGGGCCCGCCCCGCCCCGTGGGCCCGCCCCCGCCCCAAGCAGGTGAACAGCGCCGCGCCCGGGCACCAGCGGGAGATCCTCTGCGCTGAGCCCCAGGAACGCGCGGCCGGGCTGGGAGCGCACCTGCGGGCAGGCCAGTCGGGCCCAGGACAGTAGCCAGGCGGAGATGACCCGAGAGCTGGGGAACCCGCGCCTCTGGAAGACCCTGCCGCAGGGCCGACCCTGAGTGCTGTAAACACAGAAGATCGGTGTCTTTCGTATGTGTAATCATACCCCAATTTAAAAGGAAAAAAAAGGCGAACAGCCCCTGGGCTCCCATTTAGCCACCTTTCACGGATTCAACCAACTTTCGTGGAAGGTGGAGGTGTGCAGGATGTTGCATCAAGAAAGCCCTAAGGAGGGGGGTCGGGAAGTCAATTTGGGCATCTTCCGCGCAAAGCAGAAACGACTCTGCCGCTGCCCAGCACCACCCTGGCGAGTAAGACTCCTGGACCTCCCCGGCCTCGCTGTTCAAGTGCGGTTATAATATAGAAGTCAAGGAGGACTCAAGGAGATGACGAGGGCGGGAAGCACCCTGCCTGGCGCAGTCTAACCAACGGCCTTCCGGTCCCACCGTCAGCACGGCAGGATGAGAATGTCCCCAGAGAAGATCCAGACGCCCATACCTTCCCCCCCTTCCCCACGTCCCATACCAGTCCCCTGGGATGAGTCAAGGTGTCCATCAAAGGCAAAGCCTTGAGGGAATGAGATGTTTCTGCCATCAGACAGTCAGGGATCTGAGAGACGAGAGGCAGTCCTGGTAAGTGGTGCTAGCAGCTTTTAAAAAAGACAGTTTCCAAGTGACTGGGAGAGGAAAAACTGCCGAGCCTAGTTTACCAATGGCTCTGCTGATATGCCGGCCCCATCTAGAAATGGACTGCTGTGGTGTTAGGGTTCCACTGAGGGTAGCAGGTGAAGAGAAGACCTCCCAGTGGGGAGAATTCTAAGCACACATTTCTACATCCGCTTTGCCTGGAAGGAAAGATGATTTGATGCAAGAAGCTACACCAGTTTATGAACTGCGACAAATGGTCTGGCCAAATGGTCAAGCACTGGAAAGAAGCAAGATTAGAGGTCTGGTGACAGAGACGTTTGGGGAGGCAGAGATGGCTGCGCCCCTCAGGAAGGGGCAAGTGTGGAAATAATTGTCCCTCGAGTGAAAGGTCACCCATAGTCTCCACTGCCGAGGAGACTCTTACTAATTAAGTGGCCAAGCCTATCTACCAATGACAGTTTCTTTCCCCGGGGACATCGTTGCTTTCTCAACTGATTCAAGAATAAAAGTGGCCATGTTGCCAAAGATGGAACAATGCATGGATTCAACCACTTGGCTGTCCATCGTCCGTCAGACCTGGCCAGTGAGTGCACATAGGATCGGTGATTGACCCCTGACCCCGGATACTGATAACACTCCAATGGTCCCACACACTGCTTGGCTGCAGCCTGATTACTTTGGACCTCTTCCGTTATGGAAGAGGCAGGCTCATATGTCTGGATTTAGAATAGCCTTCCCGTCTGTCCTATCATCGTGGCATCCTATAACGTTAGTTCTGACCAAGGGATTCACTTTACAGTCAAACAGGGGAGGCAACAGGCAGATATCCTCGGAATTTGATCCCACCATCCAGACACAATCCTCTGTTTTGAACTGTGACACGAATTATTAAAGATTTGGTTTTATGACTGGCTAGGAGACAGTATCTAATGAGGCTGAGATACTGTTGGCTAAGACGGGTGTTTGTTCAGAATGAGTATTCAGTATGTGGTGTTATTTCTCCCGTAGCCAGATGAGGCAGGTCTGGAAGAAGGGAGAGTGGGGATGGTGCCACCCCCATTTTACCAAATGACACACTCTCTTCAACGTTGGGCTCCACCTGGTTAAGGCTGTTTGAATCCAAGAAGGGAGTGTTCCACCACTGGGCAGCTAGCCACTGGGGGAAAGGGGAATTCTGAAGTTTTGGGACAGCTCCGTTATCTAAGCAGGAAGTTTTGTTTGTTTGTTTTTGTTTTTAAGACAAAATCGAAGAATCAAAGTATAGGTAGATGTCGAACAGCAAAAGAGTGAGGCTGTCGTAAACTTATTTTTTTCTTCTTTTGGCTCTCCACCATCTGAACTCACTCCCCAAACTGGAAAATCCATTATTATGTGAGTCTTAATAAGAGGACAAGACCGGTTAGTTCCTGGGCACAGGATCTAAACTCTGCCAGCTAGATGGTCCTGCCCTGCTCAGAACGCTGAACGTGAAGCCAGGACACAGAGAATCAGGGTCACTTTAGAGCTCCTTCCCATGGTGGTGATGGCAGCAGTCTGAGTGATGGTCCAGTTTCGAGGGACCACGGCATTCCAAATCAAGCTGTTTTTGAGATGCGATTGGGCCATAGTCCCAGACCTCTAGTTTTCTTGGATCCAACCCATTTTCAAGCCTGATTCTCTATAGATCCTATGAGCTCCCTGATAACCTTCCATTAAATTCTTTGCCTAAGTAAGCTGGAGTTGGATGCTATTGTCTGCAACCATGAATCCAGCTAGCCCTTCTCGTGTGCACTCCTTCCTTTGCTTCTCCTGGTGTTGGGTAGGGTAGATACTAGGACTACCTTTGCTTCTCCTGGTGTTGGGTAGGGTAGATACTAGGACTACCTTTGCTTCTCCTGGTGTTGGGTAGGGTAGATACTAGGACTAACTTGAGTTAGCTCTTATATGATCAACCCTGGAAAGAAGCAGCTTTTTGAAAAGGACTGGACGTAGCACAAGTCATCCACAACAATATCCCCTTTATTGGTATTAATCACAGTTATGAGGTCTTGTCCATCAGAAAGAAGTCTGCATTATATAGAACGACATACAAAGACATAAAAATACCCATATGCCAACCACCAAACCAACGAATCTCCACCACTCAAACCTCTGAATGTGTCTTCAATTTTGATCATCAGTGCTCCGGAAGAACGAACATAGATCTAGCGTAGGGTTATAGGGCATTCCCAGAACAGAGTATTCACCCTTGGCAGCAATGAGACATGTAAACGCAGGGCAGGCATTGATCACACACTGTCTGAATACCTGCCTCCTGGGCTGCCTGCCTTGTCAGCAGAGCCCACTCAAGGTCCCAAAGGCTCCTATGACCAGTGAGGACGGCAGGCCTTAGCTATGTTGGAAGCAGACAAGTTATGTCACCCCTGATGGAGAAGCTGTGTGGATAAGGGAGTAGTCTCGTTCAAGTCATTCTTTAGGGTCATTTTAGAATGATGATTTGTCTCAAGTTTACTTTAAAAGGGAAATGTTAAAAATACCTCTTCTTTTCCTACCCCTTTTCCTCTCTTATCCTGAGCTCTCTGGCCAAAATCCAGCACAGCAGCTTAAGAGCTCTGGGTCACGTTATAAGTTACCGAATAGTCAACAGAGAAGGACCCAGTGCAGATTCCAAATGTCTTTCGTTCACTTAAATGAGCTTAAGTGGCTCCCTCCGTAAGTAAATGAAGGGGTTGAGTTCTAGCAGTCTGCTGGTGTCCCCAAGTCTCTTAGAAAAATGAAGCCTATAAGCTTATCAAAACAAATGTCTAGGGGACTTCGAAACCATGGCAAACCGGTTTGCTCTTGGAATCCAGAGAGAGCAGAGGTCTCTGATCAAAGCTCCACCCTGTCCTCTTTTCACAGGGCTCACTGTGTGTTCACAGTTGTCCTAATTCCCTTAACTTCAATAGTGTCAATCTTTGCCTTAAAAAAAGAGAAAGAGAGAAAGACTAGCTGCTTTTCTTCCCTTTGTCTGTGTCTCACCCCATGCAGCCTCCCCCTCGGGGGAGGCAGAAGAAGGTATGTTCCTCCTCGGGCCTTGGGAAGTAGGTTGCTTCGTCCACGATGCTCCTGTTCGAGGCTTGATGGACAGAGGATCAACGGTAAAAGATCAGGAAGGACAGACAAGAGCTGTCCTGGCCACTCTGCTCTGAGTCACTAGGCAAAGATGCTTGGGAGACCTCTCTCTTGGGAGCTTGCTTCTGTAGGTGACCTTGAGGAGTTGCCATCGAGTCCAGTGAGGGAGACCAAAGGTGCAAAAGCAGAGACTTCCCTGATCTGCAGGTCCTTGGTTTTCCCACCGAAGAAAGAGTCCAAGTAGTGGCCAAGCAAAAATCTGTAGTTCCGTGACTACCGGAAATTCCAAATAAAACCACTATCTCCCTTAAAAGAAAACTAAAAATTGTCATGATCAGAGTCAATCAGGGTAATGAGACAAAAAGGAGAGAAAGGAAAAACGTTTTGATGTGAAGAAAGAGGCTGTGGTCCTGAAGAAGCCAATCCCGGCTGTTTCCTCGTGCTGCCTTTCCTGGGGTCCGAGGCACTTCAGCAACTAGCCCAGACCAACATCCAACGACATCATCACCACAAAACCCAGGATGGAGGCCCAGGACGCCAGTTTCCCGTTACCACTAGGAGGGAAGGAAAGGAAGAAAAGGAAGACTTTGATGCACTGCGGGACAGCGTCCAGGCTGAAAGCATCCTCCACAATGTCCAATTCCAAGAGAAATATGCTACTACCGTTAATAATAATAATATTGACTTGGGATTAACAGATACACTACCATTTATAAAATAAACAAGGACCTACTATATAGCACAGCGAACTATATTCGGTATCTTGTAATAACCTATAACGGAAAAGAATCTGAAAAAGAATATCTATCTATCTATGTATAACTGAATCACTTTCCTGTACCCGTGAAACTAACACAACATTGTAAATTAACTATGCTTCAATAAATAATAAGTATCATTTATTGGGGCTTACTATATATATGCCAGGCAAACTGACTAACTCATGTAATACCAAAGGATAAACACATGAAATCAGTACTATTATTATCCTCATTTTACTCTGGGGAAACTGAGGCATAGAGAAGTAAGTAACTTACTCAAGGTCACCCATCATGGCTCTGCAATCCATGCTTGAATAATAAAAAGCAGCAATGATTTCCTGAAGATATTATATAATCTGACCTTGAACACTAGCCTCAAAATCATTCTTCTGAAAAAACCAAAACAAAGCAAAGAGAGGAATCCTCCATCCCCAGCACTTGGCCTATAGCTAGACAATGAGAACCTGAATGAATAGCTGTGGTCAACATTTAAGAGCTCACTTCTCCCTAATTCCAGCCCCAGAAAAATCTAAAGAGAGAGAGAGAGAGAATATAAGAAAATAATAGTCTGTTTCATTGGGGGTGGAGGGCAGGGCATGTATGCCACTGCCTAATATGACCTGGTCTGACTCTCCACCCACCTGCCCGTTATTCCTCTTTTAGTTTCAAAGAACACAGTTGGGGGGGGGGGGGCGCGGTGAGGATGATCTTGGGAAGGGGCTGGAAGGGCTGGGAGTAAAGAACAGAGTAGCAAGTAAAGACAGGGCAGATCTAGAGGTGGGGGCCAGCCGGGCTGGGACAGAGACAAGGACAGATGGGGGAGGGGAAGCTCTCCCACCTGATGTGGGCTTCGGGGATGATGTCATCCATGATCACATAGACCATGGAGCCGGCAGCAAAGGCCAGAGCATAGGGCAGGATGGGCTCCGCCAGCACCACGGCAAAGGCACCAAAGACCCCGGCCAGAGGCTCCACCATGCCGCTGAGCTGCCCGTACCTAAGGAGAGAACAGAGACACGTCCCGCCGCGGGGAGGGTCAAGCAGACACAGGCATGCTCAGACTGCTGACTCAGTTCTAGAAAACGATGCATTGTCTTCCACATCAGATCGGCATGGCAGTGCCAAAGCACTTTGCTGGTTTTTGTTTGTTTTTACACCACCTCGGTCTCCTTTCCCAGCTCCCTATTACAGAGTTCCAGGAGACACCCCTCCCAGGTTTATTTTAGAGTTTTAAGTTTTCCACATTGTCCTTTTAAAATAATGACATGACTGAGATATAATTCACATACCAAATGGCACACCCATTTAACGTGTGCAGTTCAGTGGTTTCTAGTATGTTCACAAGGTTGTGCAACCGTTTCACCACCATCTAATTCCAGAACGTTTTCATTATCCCGAAAAAGAAACCCCACACCCAATAGCAGCCACTCCCCATTCCTCCCTCCCACCAGACCCTGGCAACCACTAATCTGTTTTTTGTCTCCAGGGACTTGCCTCTTGTGGACATTTCCTATAAACGGAGTCATGCAAGAGGGGATCCTTTTTACTGGCTTATTTCACTTAGCATCCTGTTTTCTAGGTGCATCCACATCGTAAAAACTGTCAGTACTTCATTCCTTTGATGACTGCATAATATCCCACTGTGTGGATACACCACATGTTATATACCCATTCACTGGTTGATGGCTACATTGTCTTCTGAAGGATGGGACACTTGACTAGGAGTGGTATGGACATTTCCCAAGGACAGCTGTGCCTGGTATCTTTGGGGGTTCCGGCCACAACGGCACCCCTTCTGAAGGAGCTGTACCCGCCTACCTCTGCCGACAAGGTGGACCTACCTGGCCATGTATATAGTGAGGGCCTGGCCCCACTACCCTCCATCTTGGATTAAGGTGAGATTTCTCCTTTCAAAAACTCCCTTTATTTGAGCTAGTGAGAGTGGGTTTCTATAGGATGAAATCACATGAGCCCCGATTAAAACAGCAGCCCACATGAGCCCTGAGAATTCAGTGCCAGGAGGTAAGCCAGTACCTGAACCCCACGGCTAAGCCCTACCGCCAAGAGACTCCTGTACAGGCTGGACACCAATAGACAAGGTGCTGGGACATCTTTCCCACTGTTCCTTGCTGTGGGCACTTGGCAAGATATTATTGGCTCCGAGCCTCAGTCCCTTCATCTGTAAAATGGGGGTGAGAGAAAACTTCCCCTCCATTCCTCCGCAGATGACAGGATAGGACTGTGAACTCCCACCTCCCCCCGCTTCTTCCTGGCCAGGAGCAGATGGTGGGCACGGGGGAGACACTGTTTGCACTGCAGCATCCTCCAAGGGGCCACTGCTTCCCGGCTCTGTGCTCACATGCACGGGCCCGCAGACTCTTGAGTGTGTCCAGTTAAACAAACACTTTAATCTCAGGGTCTGGACACTGACCACAGATACCCCCCTCCCCTCCCCTGGAGTCTCTCCTGTATGAGACGGCAGTCACGGCTTCTGGGCTCACAGAACTCACATTTGAAAAAAATTTCTAGGGCCATGTTTCTCTGCCCTTCCCCCGAAACCTCTATTCTGTAGTCTCCAGCAATGGAGAAAGAGATGACACAGGATGGAACTAAAATGATTTAAGTATATGCAAGAACTTGTAAGTCACAAGGCCCTATAAAATGGAAGGCTTTTTTTTTTTTTTTTTTTTTTTTTTGCGGTACGCGGGCCTCTCACTGCTGTGGCCTCTCCCGTTGCGGAGCACAGGCTCCGGACGCGCAGGCTCAGCGGCCATGGCTCACGGGCCCAGCCGCTCCGCGGCATGTGGGCTCTTCTCGGAACGGGGCACGAACCCGCGTCCCCTGCATCGGCAGGCGGACTCTCAACCACTGCGCCACCAGGGAGGCCCTGGAAGGCGTTTTTTAACTGTTGTTATGAGCAGCCCTTGAGTGCTCTCAGCGTACATTCTAGAGCGGCGGCTCCTTCAATAAAGAGGTGTTCTGAGGCTCAGAGTCCTGAGTTGAGGGGCAGAAGAGCCTGCAGCAACCTTGGCATCACTGCCTGATGAGCCGGCCGGCTGACACTCGGGGCCATGATCCCCTCCTCTGAGACCTGGGGCCTTACCTTACAGGTCACTGAAAATGTAAAATTAGGGAATGGACTTGAAAGCCCTTTGGGGGCTATGAAAACGCAAAGCGTGAGCACCGCAGCTTCACCTGCCCAGGTGCTGTTCATATAATCCTGGTCTCCGCTGTGACCAGGGTCACGGCGGGAGCTAATGTGATGACTCTTGAGGACAGGCTGTGGTGAGTGAGCCTCCTTAGGGCGTATGGGACATGGAGAGTGGACACAGGGTCTGCCTTGCTTCTCCCCACCCGAGAGAGAGAAAACCCCACCCAGAGTGGGCGTGTCTATCCCTGGAGGGGTTCTGAAAATAGGAAACACGGGCTGAAGGTCAAGAGATGAGTTTCTGGAGGCTTCTCCCAGCTCTGGGGGTGCAGGATTCAACCAGGTTGTTGGTGTTTCCAGAAGCTTCAGATTCACTTCCAGGCCAGAAGAGGTTGCTCTTGCCCACAGGAGGACTGCTCTGACCTCCACATCGGACCCGACCCTGGGCGTCTGGAGCACTTACCAGAAGGCTCTCCAGGTGGAGAATCCAGCCCCTCGCAGTGGGAGGCTGACAGCAAGGCCCTCCGGGAAATTCTGGATCCCAATTCCAATGGCTAAATTCCTGAAAGACCAAGAAGGCACGTGAAGGCGGATGTCCAGAACGGAGTGCCCACACGGACGGGGGCCCTGGCCACTGCCCAATGCCCTCCTATGGTATCAGAGGCCCCAGTGGATCCCTGTGACAGGTGAGGGAAGGGGAAAGCTCAGGGCATGCGTGCAGGTGAACACGAGGAGGAAGGGAACACGGATCCTCCCCGCTTCACGCTGTCCTTGGTCCCTGGAGATGCTCCATGTTTATGGACCTTACAGCACAGCGGGGAGCACACAGACTGGGTGTTAGGATAACCCAAGTCCTGCCACTTAGCTGCACGACTCTGCACAAATCATCGAACTTCTACACCTCAGATCTTTGTATGTAACGTGCAGGGGGTCACGTGGGGATACTAACTTCAACCATGACGGACTGCTGTCACCCAGGGACCTGATTTCATGCCTATGAAGTCCCTAGCACATATGAGGTGTTCAGCACTTTTGGGGTTCCATTCCGTTACGGCATAGAGATGGAGAGATCACATTTTGTCCAGAAGCAACTTCAGAAATGGGACAAGGAAGTACGGATGCAGACTCTGATGGGGACACAGATCTGGGTCTGGGCTGGGCTTCCCCACGGGCTGTCTGCATGCTGGTCTGGCACTGGCACTGGACTTCCTGGGGCCCCTGGGGAGCTCACGGTGACCCTCTGCCCTCCTGCCTCTGCAGGACACTTAGGGGCTGGGCTCTGTGAATTGGTCACTTAGTCGGAGCCCAGCCTCGAGAGCCTGCCTTGCACACAAACCAGGTATTGGAGTACAAGGGAAGGAGAAACAGAAAGAGACGGGGACAAAAGCGATACATGACCCCCCAGGGAGGTCCCCAGGTGCGCACATAAATTAAGAACCCTCATTCCCTGCGCAGCAAACTACCATGACTGAACTGCACGTCCATTGGTAGAGGAAGGAAAGGGAAGATGGGAAGGAAACAGGGTCAGTCTGAAGGCAACAGGAAGGCAGTTTTAGGGTATCTCCCAAGACGAGATTCTACCTTGGCTGGACAGGTCCACGAGGACTCACCTGGTCACTAAGGATCTCAAGGGCATGACATGTGGCTGCCACTTGGCAAGCAATGCTGGAATGTGGCCTGAGGGAGTTGTGGATGGATTAGATAGAAAAGGGAAACTCCACTGTCACTTGGCTTTCCAGTCAATGTGCTCACGTCCGTCTACCTTGCTGCCAACAGGAATCCGCCCATCAGCTCTGGACAGCGGCCAGGGAGTGCTGTCGACCAGCAGCCGGCTCTACCCTGGCCTCCTTGCCCACTCACCTACCCCACGATCCTGGGACAGGGACACACTTCCATTAGGCCACGGGCTCCTGTTCTACCTCCAGCAGAGAATACCTACGATAATCCCCAGTGTTTAATATTTCATCTCCTTTTTGTTTGAGGGCCTGAAACTCAGCCTGTGTTTTCTTTTATTCCCCCAACTCACGCATGCATCCTTCATACGGGACTCATAGCTCCAGACATCTTGGGAGGAGGGAGCCTCCACCTGGGAGCTGCCAGGTCAAGGAGACTCTTAGGAAGATCCTGACCCTTCCAGAACCTTGGACTTACATTTATCTTGCACGGGCTTCCTTTAATCAACTCTCATCCTGTCCCTTCTGGACAACTTCATGATGCTTCCCCTGAACATCCACCCACCAGCGCATCAAAGTGACGATGAGCATCTGAAAAATTACTATTAGTCTTTTGATAAAGGAACTGTTCTGGTGGCTTAGGGCTGACAGGGTCATTGAGCGTGGCCCCCAAAAGCCAGGCCAAACTCTTCATAAGATGCAGTGGGCAGACAGGAAGACACCCCACCTGGCATGTCCACAAAGGGCCCCCGGCGGTACCGCTCAGTGGGCGCTGACCTTCCCCCGCAAGGTTACTGGCATCCTTGCCTACGTTACCTAAGGCAGCTCTCTCCTTTTACTTCTTAGAGAGGAAGGGGTTCAGACATGCTCTGACCTCATCCCAGGAGCCAGAGGGCAGCAAACAGGGCCAGTAAGTAAATATTTTAGGCTTTGCGGGCCATCGGGTCTCTGTTGCAACTATTCAACTCTGTCACTGCAGTGGGAGAGCAGCCAATATGTAAAGAAAAGTGCATGGCTGAGTTCCAATAAAACTTTATTTATAAAAGCAGGTCGGCGGCTGGATTAGGCCCACGGGCTGCAGAGTTGGCAGACTCCTGCCCTAATGCCTGAGGGGTACAGAAAGATCCGACAAGACGGAACCACAACCCTGGGCCGTGAGCCCCCCGTACTGCCCCGAGGTCCTCGCCGCCTGGCACACAGTAAAGTCTGGGCTTTGCAGTTCGTCTTCTTGTGTTCGACTCCTGGGCCCACGATATGTTGGCGTGCTACCTTCCATTCCCCCTGCCGTGAAATTCAAAGAACAATACAACCCCCGGCATCCCAGGGTTGCCAGGGTGATGCCCTGGGATGGGCCCTCTAAAGCCCTTGGCACACAGGAGCTGGCGTGTCCTGAGAACCTAATCAGAGTCTATTGTGAGGTGGAGGTGAGCGTTATCACTAAGGTTCCAGTGTGAGCTGATGACAGGAGGGGTGACAGAGAATGGGACTGTAGGACAGTCAGGGTCAACAACAGAACTGACTCAGCTTCAGGAAGCAGGGCTGGGCCAGGGTGGGGCTGAACCCTTTCCAGCTGGGAGGTCTTTCCAAGAACTCACAGGTCCCCTTTCCGAGACAGGCTGAGTACTTGCCGCCCCGAGTCAACACTCATGCCCTTGCAAAGTCCTGCGTCAGATAGATCTGACTTTGGCCCACCTGTGCTTACATCCCCACCAGCACTCGTTCATTTGTTCTTGTTGACACTCCTGTGAGACATTTACACCCCTTGTAAGGTTGGACAGGCCAAGTGTACCTCCCTGGAGAGCCGCTGTGAACGTGAAGGTCTTTCTGATACCGGGCTCCCTGCGTGCTGCTGGCCAGTCGGCTCACGGGGCACAGAAACTCCCAGGAGCCCCGGACTCATGATTGCCCTGGGCGGGCATCCTTCCCCTGGTCACCTCCGGGGTCCATCCCCGCTGAGACCCAGGAAGTGCCCAGAGATGGATCCTCCCCTTGGCACAGAAGGGACATGAGCTGCTGGGAGGGCTTACGAGGCACTTCGATGAGCTTGGACTTGACTGTCCTGCTGCCTTTCTGAGTATGGACGTCCTCAGTGGATGACGAGCCTAGAGGGTCGCCCCTGGGTGACCCTTGAGATTTTGTCCAAGGCAGAAGTACCTCTGCCAGGTGAGGGCTGGGAGTGAACCCTGGCCCACACCTTCTCCACGGCAGCCCAGATCTGCCCCGATTTCACAGGAGACAACGAGAGTAGGAGAAATTAGACAGGGTCCAGAGAGAAATCTGCCTTGTGATTTTTTAGGCAAAAGCTACTGTTCTGCTCCTTTGCTTTTTAAATAGGCAGGTGTGCAAGGCGGTGAGGCCATCACTCCCCAGCCAGTCTAAAGGGCAGGGTAAAAGGGTCAAGAGTGTCCTTTCTTGCCTCAGAAGGCCCGAGAACAAACACCTCTGTTGTCGGGGGCGGGGGGGGGTGGGTGGGTGGGGGAGGATGAGAGCCGGCCTCGGTGGGTGGGGCTGGGGGCTGGTTTGGGAATCAGAGTCAAGAGTCTCGCCTCTTCTCACCTGCTGGGTCCCGGGTCTAGGAATCCAAACCCAGCTTTGGGTCACTTTGTCCAGCCTTACTCAAGTTACAGGACCCTGACAAGCATGCTCCCACCAGCCCTGGGCAGGAATACAGCCTCTTCTAGAGGCTTCTGCTGTCACTTTCATAGCCCAAGCTGACCCTGAGCTCCTATTCCAGGAGTGGGGAGCCTTTAAAATATATTTCTGGTGATGGAGTGAACCTTAAGGGCGAATCCTTGCCAATGTTTCACTAGCCCCTGCCCTACCTTCTTGGACCGACCCTCACAGCGGCGTCTTTCTCCTCCAAACCTTTTCACTATCTCTTCACTGCCCCCCAAATGGTTGAGTGGATACAACCAGCTCCTTGACCTTTTGCGAAGGTCCAAGCTTTCTTTCAACGAGGAAGGTCCAGGTGTCTGTCCAGGTCTTCCATCCCTCGTCTGACAGCACTGTGCAGCTGACTCACTGTCCAAAGCCATCGCCTGTCCCCTGTGTCCACAGGCTGGCACACGACTCACCCCAGACCTACCCGGGGAGGGAGCTGCCGCCCTGTGCCGCCAGTGAGTCAGAGGTGGGGTCCCCCGTTCAAAGTCCTTGCCATGACTTGGGACGGATGGCAGCCATCCGCTGGGCGGGCTCTGGAACCTCCTTGCATCCCGCCCGGGAGCCGCCATCCTGATAAGCAGCACAGAAACCCCATTCTTCTACGCCTGGTGAGCCACGTCCCCTGGGCCCTGCCCCCGCTCTGGCACGGGGCTGCCAGCCCAGCCAGGTACCACACCCTCGGGATCCTGCCAGCCAGCCTTTCTCAGCAGGGCGTCGCCTCGCTGGGCGACCGTGGAATCTCTCCTGAGTGCACCTGGGCTCCTCCAGCCCACAGCAAGGGCTGGACTGCAGCTTCTCTGCCCTTCCCACCTTCGTATATGTCCCTTTTGCACACACACACCAGTGCATCACGTTCCCTTGGCCTCCGTGTGCTCTGCATCTGTGGGGGTGACCCCATGGAAGGGTTCAGTCCCCTCCACACCCTCTATTCTGCTCTTCCACTTGCATCAGCTCAGGAAATCGAATGAAACCCCCTGGGTATTCCGATGAGCTGCGGCGTCAGGCAGCGTGCCTGCAGGTTTTAGGAGCGTGATGACCGCGCCGAGGACCACTGGCCCAAGAAGTTATCAAAGGGGTTGAGGATGAGGGCGGTGGCCACACCCACCTCCAACTCAGGAGCCCCTGCCCTGCTACCTGACACCCACCAAGGGAGCATCCCAGGGCTGGCCCCTGCTGGGAGCCGAGGGCACCAGCGGCCACTTGTGACTGAGTCAGGTGGCCTGCAGAC